TGGGATGTCACCATCCTGGGGGTCCTCAGATGCTGCCTAGGAGGGGACATGAGGTGACAGAAGGGGTGACACCCCCTTGGGGACAAGGGACAAGGGACATGAGGGGGCTAGTTACCTGCGGGGTAGTTGTCTCCAGGGAGGGGAGTGTAACCTGCGAGAGGGAGAGGAAGGTCCGTGTCACCCCAGGTCACTGTCATTGTGTCCCCAAGGCCACTGTCATTGTCTGTGTCCCCAAGGCCACTGTCATTGTCCCTGTTGTCCCCTTTAACCACTCACCTGGTGCCGGTGGCTTGGCCCGGTACCGATAAACACCGACGATGAAGATGGTGAGTCCCAACATCATCACCACGGTGGCAGCTGCCACCATCAACGTCAACCTTGGGGACAAGCCAGGATCTGTGCGGTGACACAAGTGACACTGAGCAATCAGGTGACACAAGTGACGCTGGGTGACCTCGTGTCCCCAACCCCAGCTCACCCCAATCCACCAGGAGAGGTTGGTCCAGGCTGACGTGTTGCACGGAGCAGGTGAAAGTGTCACCGCTCACCGGTGTCACCGTCAATGTCACCTGTGTCTGGTAGGTCCAGTCACCATTGGGGACAGCGGAGACGGGGGGATGGTCACCAGGACCCACAATGTCACCATTGTGCAGCCAGATGACGGTCACCTCAGGGGGGTAGAAGCCCCAGACGTGGCAGGTGAGGACGGTGGCCCGAGTGGCGCTGGCCTTGGAGGGGACGATGCGGATCTGGGGGGGAGCTGGAGGGGGAGAGGGGACGGTCACGGCCGGGCCATGTCCTCGTGCAACGTCCTCATGTGACATCACTGTGTGACACACTCGTGTGATGTCCCCGTGTGACACCCTCGTGCAACGTCCCCGTGTGACACCCTTGTGTGACGCCCTCGTGCAATGTCCCCGTGTGACACCCTCATGCAAAAGCCCTGTGCAATGTGTGGTGTCCCCATGTGACACCCTCGTGCAATGTCCCCATGCAACACCCTTGTGCAACGTCCCCATGTGACATCCCCGTGCAAAATCCCTGTGCAATGTCC